AGCTTTATTTTTTATAAAAATTATATTGTACCACAAAGATCATATAAAAAATGATCTATGTATACTCTACCCTTAAATCAAATACAAAACAAAACAATTGTAATTAAAACTTAAACTCTTTTCATGAAATAGTTGGTATTATTAAATTTCTGTATAGTAAAATTCATTTCTAATATATTAATTATTTGAGAATCATGTGAAGTTGAAGTACATGTATAATGACAACAGTGTACAAAATGAACTTTCGATAAGTTGTCTATAAGACTTGTTGGGTAGACTCAGTGCCATCGTATATTTTCAGCTGTTTGTATTTCATAAACTGGACAATGAAGAACCAGATCAAGTATTGAGCATTTCTGCAACCAATTAATCTAAATAAATGAATATACTAAACCATTATTATATTTATGTGTAAATATCCCTTTTAATATAATGTATAATATATCATTTTCTTTCTGAATTTGCACTATGTCACCTGAATGCAAATTCACATGTGTATTGAATATACTGTTATTGTCTAGTAAGGTATAACTTATTTGATTATAGAATTCTACATGCCTATATATCAAAGTGGCACTTTTTTGCATATAAATATCATATGCACTTATGGTGTTATAAGTAAACTGAAGATTGGCATCAAGTTTTACAAGTAAAGAAAGTCAATAGATTTCATCTTTTGATAGATGTTTTCGAAGTTTGATGTTTCTTATTTTATCATCATGTGATGTGACATTTGTACCTATTACAACAAAAAAAAATACTATTATATTGTAAAAGAATAAAAAAAAATCTAAACTAAAATTTTTGCAACTTGTTAAACCTGAAACTCCAAAGACAAAACCATAATATTTTTTAAATTAAAAGAAAAATTTTTATACAAAAATGTGAAAGTTAAAATTTTAAAATTAGGTTGTTAGAATTAAAAGTATATCAAAAAACATTATGAAATTATATTTCAGTTATTTCTCTGCTTCCAAAGTTGACCTAGATGCTGATTTTTTTTTGTGAATTCATCTGGCTATTTCCTTTTAAAGAACTAATCAGAGTTAGAAAATTTTTAAGTTTATTAATTAAACTATATATGTCAATTACTAAATTAGATAAATACTAAATACCTAATTTTTTACTAAACATATTTGAATATTTGATAATACTTTGGAGTTTCAGTAAATATGTGCTTGTATACCAATGTTAGACATATTTTCTTCTTGAATATTTTGCATCATATACCACTTTGATAATATTGGTTAAAGCAATGGATTCATTATAAAATTTTGAAAATCCTGCCCAACATTTTGAAAGTGGCTATTTTTATCTTCATCAATTAGGTAACAGATCATTTGTAACATATTATGATAATGAATGAAATTAAACTCTATATTCTTGCAATTCATTTTAGAAACTGAATCTTTGAATGTTTTATGTACTGCTTCCTTTACATCTACTAAGATATTTACAAGCATCCCAAAGTTGCGAGCATTCTAAACATAATGTCGATTTATATATAAGTTTGATAAATGATTAAAATCATCTGGAAAAAGCTAAAAGATAATGATATAAATAATGTTAGCTATGTTTCGTATTTTACCAATAAATTATATTGAATTATCAGAAATTATCCTAAAATAAAATCTTATTGTTAAAAGCACCCTAATTTTTTAAGAGTTTTAAAAAAAAATACATAATCCTGTAATCTATTATATTTTCCTAATTTAGAATAGTGCTAAATATAACAATAATCTTACATTCTAATTTTAATTCTCAAACAGTGCAGTATATAAAAAATACATGCTGATTACTATAAGCAAATATATAATATAATATATATATACTCACTTTTTGCAAAAGGATATGCTCAATTTTTAGAACCTCATCTAGTTCTTGATATGTTTGCTTGATAAAGATAAAGCTGAAACTTAAACAGGATGCTTTAGCAATAGCCATCCAACACAATATGATTTTATTTACAATTTGTATAGATGATAGTGTCTTTAGTCATGAGTTTGTTGATAATGTAAGTCATCTTTGTAACAAAGCCAAATCGGTATCTTTGATATATGATGTTGTTAAAAATCTTTGTAATAAAAACAGCATTATTATTGTTAATTACAAACAATCAGAAAACAAGAAACTGTTGAGATGTTTGATTGAGTTGAAAGACAGACTAGCCAAACAGTATTTCAAAGTTTTTTCTAATGAGTTAAAAAGGCACATTTTTCTCTTGAATTTAATATTGAAAAAGTACAATCCATTAATCTTTGTACTTTACCAGCTACAGCATGATACGCATCTTGAGGTGTTTGTAAGTGTTGGTCTCATGTTAGAAGATTCAAAATACTAGGATGTGTACTTAGACCATGCTCTATGCAATATTCATTGATTGTTTTTTGTAATGCCTCTGCTCTTATAAAATTTTTCAATATAACTATTTTTTTATTTGTAAGATAGTGATATTTGGCATTTAATTTAATATCAAAAGTAAGGTTGTTTAATTGCTTCTTAGGTACCAAACAGCTTCTACATCCTAGACTATCATTATAATGCTTTGTATCCAAAAGATTGTTACCCTAAGAGAAGTCAGCGGTTATAATACCCAAAGCAGCAATTATCCATATGTCTTGACCTGCAATATTCATCAAAGTACCTTTTTCTAAAATATTAATTTCATTTATGATTGGTTTCATTACATTATCAAACTTTCCATCAAATGGAACAAAGCCCAAAACGAAATAATTTTTTATTAGTTTTCTTAGCTGTAAAGGCATATTACAGAATTAAAGATAAATGCTATCCAAAGAATGATATATGTTACTGAAGGTTCTGAAGTTATCATAGTAAATATCCAACATTATTTTAAATATAGATACATTATGAGAAGCTGATATTGGAATTCAAGTGTATTCAATTGGATAAAGATGTCGCAGTTTGCAGTCTCTTATTTTTCATTAACTTTCATAACTATATAAAATCTCTTTTATATAAAACTGATAATTTGGTAATTCTGCTGTGTCTTGAAGCCAAACTATAACTGGTTCAATAACATCTAATGGATTAATCAAATGTATTATTTCACTTAACCATAATTCTCCATACCATGATCATTCTATTCTTGAACATACAAACATTCTCAGTAAATCAGAAGCAAAATAAAGAAGTTGAATCTTCAATTTGATATCATTGGAAGTTGAAACTATTGTTGTAATTCTTCTGATTCTTATTTCTTCATCCTTGTATTTTATAAAAGACCCAATTGAATATAATTCTAAACAATAATATGAATTACAATTAATTAGCAATATTTAAATTAGCTTGCCAGCAAGTGTATATCACATTTTTGAAGTTACTGCATAAGTACTATACCATGATTTATTCTTATTGAATATAAACTGAAAAGAGGCAATTCCTGCCAACTGTTCCCATGCCAAAACTCTGATTTTAGTTCAGTCTCAATTTCTGGCCCGAAGTGCATCTGCGATCATAAAGCTCTATTACTCAAAACCCTCTTAATATGCTCACTTACAGAAATTGTATAAGCATTTTTAAAGGGTTTGGATGTCGATGATGTCTTCAAATTTTGGATAGGTATTTAATGACATTTTATTTTTTAAAGCAGGAGTCTGTTACGAAATGTTCTTAACCGTTGGATGTTCTTATTACATCTTCAGATCTAAAATTTAGATGTTTTATGATGCACATAAGGTCTTTATACACTTTTGTCACTGATCAAGAATAATTATACAAAATAAGACAATAAATAAATAAATTAAAAATAATGTAAGGCAAGTAAATAAATTAATTAAAAATAAAATAAATAAAAAATAATAAATTTTCTACTAATACTTACTTATTATGTGCTTGGTTACCCAAATAAAAAATGACATTTCTGTAAAATTAGTAAAATATAAACTGTATTCTCCAGATATTGGCTGGAAATCGATTCCACTATCTACTATAATTTGTCTGAACTCATTTTCTTCTTCTGTTTATAATTCAATTTCTTCTGTAACTGCTAACTGAATACTGCTATTCGACATATCCAAGGCTGTGAAAAAATTGCATTTGAGATCATCTGACGTATCCAAAGCCATAGAAATCTCATATTCAAAATCATCAATATGCTGACTTTTATAAAAGAAATTTTCTTGTAAACTTTCACTATTAGAGAAATATTCATGTAAACTTTCAATATTATTTTGTAGACAAGATTGGATACGCTTTCATAATATGACTTTTTGTGCTGTTTTCTTGTTTCATACTCTTTTTATTTTATTATATCGACTGCATATTATAAAATATTAATATTGTTTTAGTGAATATATGTATATTAATGACTTTAGAAAGAAAGTACTCAATTTGCTAACGAATTCAATTTATAACCTTGTGAAAGATGATATTTTAGGAGAAAGTCAAAAGAAAAAAAACAAGTTTAGTAAAAGTTTACTAAAGAAAGTGCTTCTATTTGTTACTAATACAGGTTAAAAATTTATAACTTTATAAAAGACAGGTATTTGAAAAAAAGTCAAAAAAAAAAAGTTTAGTGAAGGTCTACTAAAGAAAGTATTTCTATTTTTTAACTAATTTGGTAAAAAATTTATAGCCTTATGAAAGACAGTATTTAGAGAAAAAGTCAAAAAAAAATAAAAAATTTAGTGGTCTACTTATATATATATTTATAGCAGTGTTTAAATATTAACCAATTCTGAGTCTAAGGGTGTTCTCAAGCACCTTAATTAACCTGTCAGAATGAGTCTGAGAGTAAATTATTATTAGTAAAAAATAGTTTAACGAATTAATTGTATTGATTATTCCAATAAATAAAACACATAATGAAAATTTAATATTAGTCAAAATTTTTTGTTGATTGATCCTAATTAATAATGCCATAATGGTTGTGCACTATTTCAATTAATATAAATTTTATTAACTTGGTAAAATATGTTACTTTGAATTTTATCTTGGCATTTTGGCTAGATAAGAACTAATCATTTTAGCTACTCTTATTTGCATATGATCACAGTTTTTTATTTATATTGAAATGCTGATCTATAGCTTAAAAGCCAAATTTGAATATATCTTTTTGTTTATATATTAAGTATGCATTTATTAAATATAATTTTGAGGGCAATTACTCTACATTTTCTGCATCTCTGCATTGTATATATTTATTCTACTATAGAAAAAAATATTTAATTAAAAATTACTAAAAAGGTAAGATAATGTAGTTTGACAAAATTTGTTCAATAAATCACATCATCCCTACATGATGAATAAATAAAAGATAGCTTAATCAAGAAACCACAAATTAACTATTCCTGTTTCATGTTAATTAGAGAAAAATTAAAAGCCAAATATAAAGGTTAACACTTTGGTTTTGGTAAAAGAAAAGGTATTGCTAACACTTTTATGTTTACCAATATGTTATAGATAAGAAAACATCATGTATAGAAGATTATTAATAAAATACTATAAATTAGATAAAATTGAAAAGCACTTATATATATTTATTTGTATTTTAATCGATAATAGATCAATATTTGTCTGATTATTATTATTATATATTTTATAAAGGTATTATCAATTGAACATAAAGGTAAAAGGTAACGATTTCAAAATCAAGTATGTTTGATGCAATATATCCATAAAGCCAAAGCTGAGAAAGTTTGTATTAAGCACTTGCATATCTATACAAGTAATCTTTGATAATTCTATCCAAAAGAAGAATAAATTATTTGGCTTGGATATTGAAAAAGAGCAACTGCTACTGCCACAAAAGTAATAATAAACTGGATATAGTTCAAGAAAGTATAATCAATTTAATGCGAACATTTATTTTTTATTAAGCTTCATTTAACATAATACATAGAGCAGTATTTCTTATTAATTTAAATTATGCAATAAGAACCTATATGTTACTATATTTAAACAATTAATAGTAAATAATTATATTTAATATTATAATGATAATATTAGTCATAGTAATATAATCTATCATTAATCTATTAGCTAATATCTTTCAAGCAATATGATAAAACTTAATCTCTTTTTTTTTTTACATTTTATGATAAGCAATAATTGGCAATATTAGCAACTGAAGCATTACATTATATTGATAATACATTAATCTAACTTAAAAAGTGTCTGAAAATCTAATTGTTATATCCAGATAGCCTGTATAGAACTATAACCAATCCATTAGTATATCAGGTTAACCTGATATTCTTTTCCTCTGGTTCATTCTGGCAGCCTAGTTGGTGATACCCCTGAGACTCACAACCTGGAGGTTCTTGCCCATCTGGCTACTATGACCAGGTACTACAATCTTGGTATCTGTTTTTTCAGGCTAGCCTTTACAGTAAGGCTGTTGAAAATCCAGCTATCTCTCTACTCGGGTCTTTTCAAATAGACTTCTTGTTACCTAATTTTAATGGATTTACATGGCCACAAGGACTTATCTAGTGTTTGCACTGCCCGATTTGTCAGTTTGCATTCCTCTATGTAATGCCATACTTACACAAATGCCCTATAACCTGCCAGTTATGCTGGAGTAATCACTATTATAGATGTTCTAATCTAATCATTAGTAATGTTGCCGTAATACAAATATTATATAAGTGATTATTCAAATTTTCACTGTTGATAGAATTTGAACATCCAACCTACCACTTGGAGGGTTGACAACCTGACCACTTCACTAGGTCGCTACACCCTTTGATTAGTTAATTTACATAACTCTATAAGTTAATTTAATTAATAAATTTTTATACCTAATCTTAAAAAGTTATATCTTACTAAATTTTTAATCAAATTTAATAATTTTATTATTATTAAAATCAGAAAGACCTAATATATAAACTTTTCTTATAAATTAATATTAGTTTACTTAATATAATTTTTTATAAAATTAAATATAAAAAATTTTACTATTAAGTTTATATATAATTTTAATATAGTACTCTTTATTCTTAAAATTGATAATTAAAATTTTATTCAATTTGATAAGTACTAAATAACAATCTTTTACTATTATTATTTTCTAAAAAATTTTTTAAAAATTTTTAGTTTTTCTTATAACTAATTACTAACATTATAGTATATTTTGTTTTTAAACTTGTTTAATGTTTTTTATTATTGTTTTTTTTATTTAGTACTGTTTAGAGTATTTTTTATTACTAGTTGTAAAAAAAATTTAATTTTTTTAGTTAATTTTGTGTCTAAGTAATTATCAAAAAAAGAATAATGTCTATATTAATAATTTCTTTTTTGATTATAAAAATTTATTATAACAATTAGATCTTTTTTTTAATAATTAATATTTTATAAAACTATCTTTTATATATAAATAAAAATTCTTTATAAATTTAATACAAGATATGTTTATTATTTTATTAAAAAGACAAAGTAGTAGAAAATCCAATATAAGACTTTATTAAAGAAGTTCTTAATATCAGAAACAATGTGAATTGGAGTAGCATATTAGTAGTTAAAAAATTAAAACTAGAAAGAAAGAAAAATGAACACGGCTAGGTACTATTATAGAAAAAGATCAAAGTAGAACAAAATATATTTTAATTACAAGAAGTAAAAGACTAAATATACTTTTTAAATACATACAAGAAAGGATATCTATAGTTAAAGAATTAGTAATAAGATGACCAAACCTGTATGCAGATACAAATTGTATAGTTTGCAAAAAAGAAAAAAAAGAAGACCAGGACTATTTAGTAATATGTTTTTTTTATAAAAACTACTGGATAAAGGCAGAAACATTAGAAATAATAATAATATGAAGCATATTTTTAGAAGAAAAAAAAAAGTATTGCTCAAATATAACTAAAAAAACAATCTGAGACCAAACAAAAGAAAAAAAAGCTGAAATAAAGAAAAAACTTATTAAAGATCTTTTATAAAAGAAGATGATAAAAAAAGTATAAAATATTTTGATTTTAATACAAGAAACAAAAAATTTCTTAATAAGTATAATAAATACTATATAGAACAAATTTTATGAAAAATTTGAAAAGAAAGATGCAGTAAAATATCTGAATGAGAAAAAAATCAAGGAATTAATATAAGAAAAAAAAGAAATAAAAATAAAGCAATAAAACAATAAGACAAACTATTGCATAAAGTTTTATCAAAATCAAAAAACAAGAACTTAGAAAAAATGAAAGATATAAAGAAAAAAAAGAAAACAAAAAATGAAGAAATATAATTAGAAAAATTAATTAGTAATAACAAGAGGCCTTACTAGAATGGTCTTAAAGGCTAGTCTAAATAACTCTCTAGTAATAAGTATAAATTCACTTTAGTATAATAGATTATTTTTAAACACTTTTACAGTAATCAGAAGATGTCAAAATCTAAAAATTAAGCTAATATTTGTATAATTATATATATAATTTTTTTAATAAAAAATTCTAGTAAGGCTGCCAAAGAATTAAAAAAAAAATACATGATATATTTTATTTTAGTTATAAATTTAAATTTTTTTTTTTTAATCTTTGGCATCTACAATAATTAACCAGTTAGAAGTTTATTTATAAATGTTTAGTACAGATAATATACAAATAGAATTATATTTAATTCTATGTGTTATTATTATGTAGTTATCCCAATTGGCACCTACAAATGACCTGCTATATCAGATCTGCTAAAGTCTGAATTGAGCTCATCTGTCTGCATCTCTACAATTGAATAGTACTAATCTGATACTATTTATTTGTAGAGAAATAAAAAACTAGAAGAATAATTTTTTTCTTGTTGAGAAGGAATGTACTAAAAAAAAAAAATATATAGGAGAGAAATATAAAAAAAAAAACAAATATCAAGAAATAAAAGAAAAAAAAATTGCTAATGAAGACCAGACAAACAATCACTAATTATAAAGACTATGTCAACTTATTAAAAATTATATATTACTAAATACAGTAATCTCTATTTTAAGTTTATCTAATTAACATATTTAATATTAAAGCTTATATCTTAAGAGAAATAATTTACCAAAATTGAACTGATAAAGAATTTTCTATGTGTTGAATATCTTAACTTCTTGTTACTGGATTTATCATCATATATAACTTATTATACTTTTTACTAAATTTTATATTTTAATATTTGATACATTTTCAATTAATCATTTTATCTTTTATTAAAAATTCTCCAATCTCATCTCATTGTTGTATTTTTTTCAAAACATATGTATTCATGTTTTATCTACAACATAGGCTCTTTCTAAATAGAACTGATAAACAATCCCAATTTGAAAGGATTAACAATACTAATTTCAATAGAAGAAAGTTAGATTGCCTACTTTTTAATAAAAATTTCTTGAAAAAAAATAAGAAAGAAAATTCTAAAACATCAATTGTAATGAGTATAAGAGTTTATGTTATACAGAATAGTATATCCAATCAGGCTTCTATCTTTGCTGTTATTCAGATATAGCTTGACAAAAATTTTCTTGATTATAACTAAAGTTATTTTTTCAATAACTTTATAAACTTCTACTGAAGAACCAAATCTACAAGAAATTGTCTTTTTAAACTCTTTTTTATATAACCTACATGTAATCTGAAACTCTTGAATCTAGACATTATATGACAAAATTTTGTTGTATATAAACATACTAACTATATAATTTTTGTAAGTTGGTATGTATAAAAAAATTAGTGCAGAGAAAGAATCATTGAAAAGAGTTCAATTTTAGTGTCTTAATTTTAACTTTAAAATTTTAATTATTTGTTAATCTTTTATAGCTTTTCAAAGATAACTTGTTAAAAAATTAACAAACTTTTGCTATAAAAAAAATTCAAATTACCTAACTAAAACTTTAAAATACTAGCTAAGCAAAAACTAAAAATCAGCTTTGTGTAATATTGTTATCCTAAAATATACTTAAAAATAATTAATTATATACTAAATAATTAATGTAAATGAAAATAAATAAGAAATGGAATTTTGTAATTTATTGCAATAGTGATGTATCGCTACACGTCAAATTTCAATGTCGGAGTTCCAATATTCAAGCTTCGCTTTTAATTAATACATGCAGTCAACCCTGTGCATTTATGGAGAGCATTTTATTAAGTGCTCTATTTGCTCGGAACTGAAATTTAGTGTGCATTTAGAGAGGGTATACATAGTGTGTGCATTTATAATTAAAAGCTTGAACATTGAAACTCTGACATCACATGACGTGACAACTAAGTTGTAAAGAAATAAACTCCTACTTTTAGTTATCAAATCATACATTAACTATATATAGAATAGATCAGTAAAGCAACAAATTATGCTACAGCAAAATTATCATCTGGGCAGCTTTATTTAGTACGTGGGCTAAATTTTAAATGATTTTGGAAGAAATTTATAAATTTCGGCCTATCCCGTTATATATCGTATACGTATAGATTTAATTATATTAACTGTTAATAAAAATTTTAGTGTAACTAGTACGCACGTAAAATGCACATGCTTTGCTGAAAATATAAATACGTAGGTTTAAAAATTACTAGCCTTATACAATATACATGCGTAACATTATTGGTTAGCTAAGAATTAACCAATAAAAAACTGCATACAGATGTCTTTTAATTATATAGATTAGAAATATTGAATCAATTTACATAACGATAAAGTATACGTAATCAAATCCGATATTGACGAAAATCAACATTGAAATAATTATATTAATGCTAGGAAAAAAAATTACTACATTTCTTCGAACTCTTCCTCTGGATAATCACCTACTTTTACTTTATTTGGCCTGACAAATGCACCATACTTATCAGGGCAAGAAAAATATTGTTCACCTTGAACAATGCCATTATGTTTTCCAACTGGCTCATCATACTGTACACCAACCCAATAACCCGGCTTAAATTTGGTTTCACCTTAAAATTTTAAACAAAATGTAGTTTAGTGAAGCACCAAGAATTATAAATTGTTTCTTTTTTTTTTTACTGACCAACATATTTGACTGTTCCTCGGCGCTTTAATCCCTCAGCATCACCAAAATCTACTTCACAACGATCTCCAACTTTGATATTTTCGGCCTCATCTTCGAAAGTATATGAATCGGAGGTTGTTGAATGAGCATCAGAGAACCGACCAAGTTTATTACGTTGTTTAAAAGCAAGGACCGAGTCTATAATTTATAAGCAAGAGAAGATTATTCGAGTGTCAAGTGAGATAATGATGATTATGTAGGACAACTTTCCTGTGCGTTTCGCATATTCATCCTCAGGCATATCGTACTTTTCCACAAGTGATAAATCATTAAATTGATTTCTCTGACTGCTAGGATTGGTATCAATAACCTTTATTGAACATATTTGTAAGAATTACGGTTATAGTGGCTTGTATATAAATTACTTATCAACAATCCATCACATTTCATCACAATTGAACAATGAATAAAAACCTTCAACGTCATAAAATTATCAACAGGAAAGGCACCTAACATGTAATTGTCACCTTCAACAGAGGCGACCAGAGTATCACCATTATATAATTGTAATAACTGTGATTCAGCCGGTATTCCAGTGATAGGTTCGAGTTTTGTCTGAAAAAGAAAAGGTGAATATTTCAACCTGTAAAATCGTAAGACGCAAAAATGAAATAAAATTACGAATATTACTTTTAAATTACCAATGCTGATACCTTTATCAAAACGCCTTTCTGAAGACGTATTCTCACTCTGTACAAAGATAGTCACTATTGACATTTTTCACTACTAATAAATGTGTTATCGTTATCAACATTTATACATGCACACAAATAGGCTTTAGTATTTTTAACCAATCAATATCATCAACATTTTCTCCGTGATACATGATACATGAATTATGTGCCGCAGGAATTATACCAAATGCTCAAATGCCGATCTCAAGTTTTGCTTAGTCATGACATATCAATATACAAAATATAAACAAACCAATACATGGAAACATTTATACTTCACTAGTGCTTTTTGTTTCTCTTGGTAAACCATTTTACCTTCACTATTATAAAGTTTATAATTCCTTTTACGGAGAGCTGTTAATTTATTCTATACAGGAAGATCTTAAAATAAACAGTAAAGCTACTCATTTATAATGGCAGCCGAAAGTGCGTCATCCCGCCAATCATCTGATCCTAAACAAGACGGGCGATCTGCCCAGGATTCCGATAAAAAAGAAGAAGGAAAACCCCCACATGACGAAGGGTAAAGTATTTGCAACATCTATTTATGGCAAGCCTGCTTTTATCTTTTCTACCTGTTTGCATTTTGCCTGTGGAATTGGGGTTCTCTTTTTCTATTTTATTCGCTTTTTGTTCCAGTAAAGTATGACGTTGCATAGCTACAAGATCGCTATTACGAAGCTGAAGTTGGTATTGGTGTTAAAAAGTTGGGATGTTTATTTGGCATATTGGTTTATGTGGGAGTTAGGTATAAGGGAAAATATTATTGGTTTAATAAGAGAAAGTCAGTTTCAATAAACACTTATTATAGAGAAAAAGTCATCAAATCCCCATTAAATATTCATTAGCAAGCAAAAGAGAGAGAGAGAGAGAAAAGATAGACTTTTGATAGAGGAATATAAGAAAAATTTTTCAGGCTAGGTTTACTATTTCTTTCTTTAGCATCTCAGTAAAATACAACTAATAGGTTTCTCTTTTTTCCCAAAACCCTTTCCACTTTATATATATATATAATTTACTACTATATAAATCGAATACATCTATCTATCTACTGTATTCCTTTACCATAATCGTAACACTTTGTAGAAAGATGTTCATAGGAGGTCTTAATTGGGAAACAACAGATGGTAAGATATTTTAGTCAACCGTAGCTTTCTTTAAATTACGTCCCTGTGCTTGGTCTCTCTTCTCCCTCTCTCTCTATATAATGTACATAAGACTATTCAACGAATTAGTCGTTAGATTCATCTTGATCTCTTCCTGTACTTGTCTTAGAGGAAAAATATATTATTAAAGAATATATATTATAAAGAGAGAAAAATTTTTAGCTATCTAAACCTTTTGCTTGTTATTAGTTGGAGGGGACTGGTCAATCTCAAGAAATTATGATGAGTTAATTTAAAGCACAGTTTGTTCGTTATTTCACCGATCCTCTTTTGTCAACTTTATTTATGATTCTTTCACTCGATGTTCCTAAACGCCTCTCTTATTTAGTTATAATTCCTACTTGCTATTTCTTCCCTATTCTATCCACCAAAGTTATAAATTCATCAAATAATTTACACATAAAATAATCTTTTTTATAATAGAGAGCCTTAAAACATACTTTTCACAATTCGGTGAAGTAACGGATTGCATAGTTATGAGAGATCCAAATACATCGAGGTCTCGTGGTTTTGGGTTTTTGACATTTGTAGATCCAAGCGTCGTCAATACCGTATTGGTTAAGGAACATCAGCTGGATGGTAAAATTGTAAGTGGTCAACTGAGATATTTAGATTTTATAGTTTGCAAATATTTCCATAAAATAGGGGACAACAGAGAGATGTCAAGAGGTCCAAATGATTAATAGATGACAAAACTTGAATGGCACTTATAAATTAATGTGTATAATTGTGCCATATTTCGATCTTCCAATGTCATTGCTCATTGTATTTAGATTGATCCAAAACGTGCTATTCCTCGCGAAGAACAAGAAAAGACCGAAAAAATCTTTGTAGGTGGTATTGCACCTGAAGTTACTGAAGAAGAGTTTAAGGAATATTTTTCACAATTTGGTCATGTCATCGATGCCACTCTCATGGTTGATCGTGATACTGGCAGACCTCGTGGATTTGGTTTTATCACGTTTGATTCTTCTGAACCTGTAGAAAAAGCGATGAACCGACAGGACTTAGAAATCCGTAATAAACAGGTAATGGTTTATTTAATCTATAGACTTATTAAATATATACTTACATATGACGACATATGTGCTTAGATTGAAGTGAAACGTGCGATGCCTAAACACAAATCACAACGCGTACAAACACTGTACAGTCAGCAAAGCTATGGATCGTCATCATCTGCGTCTGCGGGAATGATGACATCACCGGCTAGTTCGGCTAATAGCAGGTACGATTTTATAAAGTTTACGGTGATGTAAAAAATGGAAACATTAAGTACTGGAAGTTATAACAACATTATTTAATATATTAGTTACGGCGGTTATGGTCAATATTCTAATTATGGCAGTTACGGAAGTAATTACCCTAGCGGATACCCTTATAGTGCAATGACTCATGCATATTATTCTTCAAGGTAATTAAATTTTTTTAGTGTCATTATATTTGTGATAGTATTTATATCACGATTAATCAAAATATATTGTGTAGGTACGGAAATTATGGTAGCCAATACGGTAGTGGAGGTGGCAGTTACGGTGGATCTGGAAGTCGTGGTGGATCCTATGGTCAATGGTACGGACGTGATGGTTATGGATCTGGTCCATCTTCAACCGGGGGTGCTTCTACATTAGGTGGACCAAGTTCTAGTAGTCGTCTTGGGGGCGGATATCGCCATTCCCCTGGACGTGATGATGGTTACGGTCGAGATCATCACCATCATCATCATCAAGGTTCTCCTATGTATGGCAGTCGAGGTGGTAACTCACGAAGCGGTCCTGCACGTTCTTATTCATCGATGAATGCAAGTGGTACTGGTGCGCTGTACAGCAGTCATAACGTTCGGGGACAACACAATTATCATCCTTATGCTCGATGAAAATGTTCCAAGTAGTGATTGTAGTCGATTTAAAAAACTTATAAGCTTAGTCGAGTCGATGATTTTGACACGGCTAAGCCGGCTATTATCTTAAAAACAAAAAAAAAAAAACAAAAAAAAATAAATCTGCCAACAATAAACTACAATTGGTGCTGTCTAAATGCATAGATCCGTGGAAAGATATTCTATGCATTTAGACAGAATATGCAATTAGAGGTATATTCATATATGTGTGACACAAGAATTATTCAATAATATTTTAGCAAAATTCTTTTATCAGATTACATGACAAGTTACACAATAAATAACAAATTAAATTTTATTAAAGTTTTTATTAAATATATATATATATATTAATACAATAATTCATATTCATTTTAAAATCCTTTAGTATACTTTAAAAAGTTAATTTATTAATACATCTTTATTTATTGTAAATAAATTGATTGTCAAAATAATAATAATCAATGTAATGGAGACACTAGAAATTGTTCCCGTATATTCTTATAAATAAAAAAAACTAAAATAAAGCAAAATTATCGAATAGCCACCATAAATCCGGTAAAAAAAGGGACAATTGCAAATTCAACGTTTGAATAAAATTGCAAATTAAAACCCAACTTATGTAAATAATAATAACCCTGACACAAAACTAGTAAAATATATACATACTGATATATCGAACCACATAACATGTATTAGGAATAAATCAACCAAAAAAAAAAAAAAGTGCATAAAAATGTCGAGGAACAAAACTTTTGGTTTTCTTAAATATTTGTGCCAAGGTTTCTAGAACTCAGCTGTTCAATCAATGAATCAACTCTCTCTATTACCTATTGTATGAAAGAATGATAAATATATTATAACATGAATTACTTTGAGATGTTTGAAACATTACCTGATGGATATTAGGCCGATCTTTCGGATCTACTGCTAACAAAAAGCCAACCAAATTTCTAAAGTCTTGAGAGTAGCTAAGAGTAAAAAAAATTCGTAATATTTTAAACATGAGTGTATGTAAAAATGATAAATAGCAGAACAAAAATAATAAAATTAATTCATACATATCATCTTTAGTATCGGGGAATTTAAATTGATTACTAAGAACAGCTAATGCTATTGAACCTCCTTGTTCATTAATACTATTCTCGAAAGGCGATTTTCCGTAGGCCATAGCATAAAGTGTACATCCCAATGACTTAGACAAAAATAAAAATCTGTTAGATAAAAAACTAGCACAAAAAATGTTTATTTTTATTTATTTATTTATTTACCCAAATATCGACTTTTTCATCCAATTCAATATTAGTTTTGACATCAAATAATTCTGGGGCACGATAAGACATAGTAGACTTTTCTGCTGCTAATTCTTGTTGCACCAAAGCATTGCTTCTGTTATCAACCTTTATCCTTGCCCGGATTAAAGAGCCAAAATCCATTAGGACAGGAGTTTGCATGTCATCGGACATTAATATATTACTGCATAAAATAAAATATAAAATGATTAGACTAAAAGATTCCTCGAAGCAATATATGCATATTATGCGAAGAATACAAACCCAGGTTTAATATCTCTATGCGCAAATGGTACAATATTCTCCTCTGCTTGGGGTTGCGTTGACGCTACTTGGCTGAGTATATTATTATTTATAATAGGTCCATTAGGGAGTGTATTTCCGTTTGTAAATTCCGTTCTATAAACACTGGGAAGTTTGTAATTATGGAGTGCTCGAACAGCATAGCAAATTCCTCGAAATATTTTCAACATTTCTTCTTCCCCAAAATGCGTGCCTCGTAACGAATTATTATTAATAGCATCTTGAAGATTTCCATTCTATTAATATGATGAAAATTTTATAAATTTAAGCTTTAGCTATTATTAAGTACCTCATATTCAGTAGGCAAGAATATCAACGAACCTTATAATAGGGCAAAAATATATACACAATTTTACTGTTATCTCTATCTGGAACAACACATGAATCCTTATGTGAAAAGGAACAAACTATGATTAGTAGCAGATTAAGAAATTTGATGCGTATGTATTGAATCAAAAAAAAAAAACTAAGGACTCAGCATACAATAACTTTTATGATGTTGTCGTGCTGGAATAAACGATACATTTCAACCTCCTTCATTGCGTCTTTCACGGAATCACCTCCGAATGAGCATCTAATTTGCTTAAGGGCGAATAATCGGCCAGTACTGGCATCCTGCACCAGATAAACATACGCAAATCCCCTGAAAAAGGCAACATCAAGCAGACGGTTAAAATCTAACAATCCTTTCCAACAACGTAAGAAAAAAAGAAAAGTATGTACCCTTCACCAAGCAATTTGATCACCTTGAAAGTTCGACGATTTATGTAAAATGTCGGATTTGGGAAACAACAAGAGGTAATAGAGTATATGGTATCCCGCACAGAGCTAAAAAAAGACATTTTAAAATAATTTTTATAGCCGAAATAACCTTATTTGTGTTTTTAAACGTCTTTTATGTCAAAGGTTATATTTTGGCAGTCTTTCTTATTTTTTATATCACTAAAACTCAAATGCGGATACCATTATTGATCGTCGAAACGAGAAGGCTATCAGAAAAATGGTGCGTTCTTTTTATGCTTTTGTGCCAGAGCCGACGCAGTAAAAAAGCTGATTCGCTAGTTTAGCATTGGAATTTTGTTTTCACGTGCTTAAGCATTAATCCGCGCACCATTGTAGTACCATTATAGTGATTATAGTGCACTACCTAAAAACCCGGGTCTAATACATACCTAGGAAGACATTCATATCTTTGTGATAATTAAACAAAAACTTCATATAAAAGAAGCTTACATAAATTTAGAGAATAGATAAATACGCGTAAAGTGGAATAAAATGTGATATTCATTACTAATAAACCTTAACTTTAAAGACATAAACTAAACTCTAATTTGCAATTGACAAGTCTAAGTATACTATAAAAACCGACTAAATTTAAACTAACTTATTCGAATTAAACGTTAGCAGTAAAATTTATTTAAATATAACGTAGTAAAGTGGTTTTTGACGAAAATATTTCCTGTTACCTTCACTCTACGGTGTAATTTCACGCGGTTTAATAGGCGTTGAGTATATTTTGTCTTCTAAGCAAATAAGTCAGGAGGTGGATCCATTGGATTCTTTTGCATTGTGAATATTAACGTTCGTCCAAAGCTAAGAATTGCTTTTTTTTAAAAAAGTACTCTAAAGTGTATAAATAAGTTACCCGGGTAATTGATTTACATCAGCCAATCAGACGAATGTCGTCTTATGATGGCCCAAATGTAGAAATATCCAAATATTTGGCAGCAACGTCGGAAGTTTTCGTGATAGTGGACAATTAACGAACATGATTACATAAGCGGGTTACCAGGATGATCGAGGCAACTAAATGAAAAAGCTCTACTTGCGAATTAAATGAATTTAGTCGCGCATATGAAAGGTATCTATATGAAAATTCACGAAATTCATTGCGGAAACTTATAAATCGTTTGCGGTAGGGACGTGGGGTTTTGCGATTTACGATGTGTCAATTTACATATATAAAGTTTATAAATATTTATTCCTTAATATTGCAGTAAATCACAAAATCCCCGCGTCTCGCAACCGAATCAATCTTTATTCACGTGATTATTTATTTCTAATCAACTAATTAAAAATTAAATGATTAACACACAGATATTCGGACAATTAATGTGAGGAAACCAGAGTCAAATAGACAACCACCGAAAAATACGTTTTTAATTTTGAATAAATGGGCTGCCGTCAATACAGCAATAGAAATCAAGCAAATCTACATTTGAAAAAAAATTAACGCCTTAACTTTCACAGCTCATATATTGGCAGATTTTAAAGCTATCTTAATGGTTTAATATTCAAATGAAAGCTTAGATTGTAAGCTTTCTTTTGAATATTAAACCATTAAGTTATCTTTAAAATCTGCCAAGATATGAGCTGTGAAAGTTAAGGCGTTAATTTTTTTTCAAATGTAGATTTGCTTGTAACAACATGTTACCTCATATTAGCCAATAGTTAGAGTTAGGATTTGGGTTACACGAATTTTAGTTACAATTAGATTCGTCCTTTAATTTTTACAGGATTTCCGAGTCGGATTCATCGAATTTATGCCGGCATTTAGCAATACAAAATCAACCATTTCCGGGCCAAAATTATCGGCTGGGTAATGAGTAGGCTATGATTTTATTAGTAAAACTTTTGGTGATCTTAGTCAATTCCGGTCATTCCGATCATGGTTCCGATGTATTCCGACCCGGAATCTGGTGACCTCCTTGTATGAGTTCAAATTTTGAGGTGCATTTTTTAGGATTAATAAACAAGTATAAGTGGATCAAATAGAAATCGAAGCCTTTACGGATTTCTTACGTATTCGAATAATTTAAATCGGCAAATATTTATTCGAATATTCGCCAAATGACTAATATTGTTTGAATAGTACTATTTATTCGAATACATTGTCCAATAGTGAACGATACAGATGTTTTTATAAATTCTGGAAATTTTGACAATAAGTTTTTATCACTGCCGAATCAAATTGGCAAACATTCAGTCGGTCAGATTTTCCAGAATTTATGAAAACAGCTGTAATTAATGCATGATTTTATTCAATCACCTGGGTAACTCGCAAGTTTTAGAACTCAAGGCTTCGTTAAAAATAAACTGTTTTATTGTTATTATTAGTTGCATTAAATGCTAGAAACAGTCAACTAAAAAAGATGACCTTAATGAAAGGTTCTACCTACCACTTAATTATGCCGCCAAAATTTATTTATAATGATCTTAATACTTACATTTTGTGTTATATAGAATGAATTTGAATCTAAAAAAAGATTATTTGACACCATACGTTTACTTTCTAAAATCTATTTCAACTTTAAGATTAGAGGTTGAGTGTCTGAATTCCTATCTTTCGCATCCGAGACCAACCTTATTGGCTTCTTATAAACTATAAAATTTATCTTATGCTTATTTGAATCTAAATAAAGTTTAAAGATTAGTTATGTAAGAGCTTCGAAGTAATAGATATCTGATTGGACGCATTTCTAGTTTCGTGCACCTTATGTTTATAGTAACGGCTCGGCTTGAGGTTGGTCAGCTTATCGTTATAAATGGCTTGACTCTGGATTTGGAGCTGATAGATCGGCTCAGCTTGATTAATGTTATCCGTGAACCGAGCCGAGCCAAGCCGTTTGCATCACTAGTTTTGCTCTCTAAGCAAAATTCTTCAAGAGTTTGATCTTTTTTGCACAGTGAACGATTCTCAAAACTCGCATACCGATACGAGTTGGGCTGGCCAGACCAATTTGACTAATGACCAGTCCAGTCAACCACTTTGACATTGGTCAAGTTGGTCAAATGGTCTAGCTATCAATCAATCAGACCAATTTGACTATAATTCAATTTCCTTGATTGGTCCGATTTGTTAATTTGGTTCATATTGCTAGACTATTTGACCAATTTAACCAGACCAGTTTGACCAGAAACCCTTTGACCAATGACCAGCAAATTTATAGTCGACCACTAATTTGACCAACACTGGTTACAACGTATTTGATTTGCACAAATCAGATGAATTTCTGCTTATGTCGCGTATGATTTAACTGCCCTAGCGTTACCAACCTAAAAATTTTCGCTGGCCAATCAGATTTCAAGATCAGGTGCTATGCAGGAGAAACGCGCATTAACAAAAGTTTTCCTTGCGAAATTTTGGTATTAGAAAAACTCTTCTTCACCTAAATTAATAGCCAAACCTAACCCTAATCTAGCAGCGAAATTTTTTTTTGTTATCTGTTATAATAAATGTTTAGTGGTTTGCAATTACGAAAGAGACAAACGGCTAAAATGTATATGAATATACATGTGGTCGTATAAATTATGTGTGGCTTATTGAGATATTCGTGTATGAAGACACGATTACTCTTTTATTCAACTGTATTGAATGGAGGACGACAATTCCTGAAGTAACTCTGGGACTATTTATCCATTTTACAATTCCGATCGTTGACCATTACAGCTATCAGCTATACGATATCTATTATATGGGTATTTATACATGATACGTATAACATAGCTAGTACATGTAATAAGTAATAAAGTAATAAAAAGGAAATAAATCAAATAAATATATCCAAAAATATTTAGCAATGTACACTTTAGTACGTATTCAAATATATGTATAGTCTCAGGTATGAAATGTTTGTGTAACAATCGCGAAAATCTAAAAAATCGCTCTATCACTATAGTTTAAAATACAGATCTTATCGAGTAATTACTAAACAAATTAACATATAAGTTATAGAAGAGATACAATTTGAAGTCATATAGATATCTTATGACTTCAAATTGTATCCCTTCCATAACTTAAATATTAATTTGTTTAGAAATTTGCTCAATTACTCGATAAAATCTGTATTTTAAACTAATAGAGCGATTTTTTTTAATTTAAAATTTTTAATGAATTTGTTAAAAATCTGGTATTTTACTAGATTTTCGCGATTGTTACACGAACATTTCATACCTGAACACCCAAGTTAGAGTGTCCAAATTATGTGTGATAAATTGTAAATTATGTGAATTATGCGAACCTAGGGATCAGGCTTGAAAAAAATTTCGGCTCCGGTTTAACTTCCCGAAATCCATTTTTCTGAAATACCATTTCAACCGAAGTCGTAATACTGAAAATCCATTTTACTAAAAATAAATTAACAGATAAGTTTATTTCATTGGCAATTATTTCACTGATAGATCATTTCACCGACAAATTTTTTAAAAAATTGCACAAACCTTAACTTTAATTCTAAACCTGACCCTAACGACGATGACCAGAATTACTTTGTCGGTGAAATGACGGTTAATCGATATTCGATGAAATGACACTGACCTATTTCTGTCCTGTTAGTAAAATGGATTGTCGGTATTACGACTTCGGTGAAATAGGCTTCGGGAAAGTGAGCAAAAACCAAAAATTTCCGTTGACCAATCAAACTTCAAGACCAGGCATACCATTTATACAGTAGTCCAAAATATAGACTATGAAACCATTTTTTACATATTATAAAAATTTCTTTGTGAAATAATATCTTCGAACCCTAACCAAATGGCAAGATCCTATCCCTAACCTAAAGGCTCGAAGTTTTTACTAGAAATGTTTTATTACAAGCACGAATGTAGTTGGCATATAATCGTTATCAATGCTATAAAAAGTTAGAACAGTATAGCCAATAACTTTACTAAATTCGGAGCTGTTGATTTTTGAAAGTGTATCTGGTTTGGCCACATTATTAACATTGGGGTGTCAATAGAATTCAAGCAAATTTTTTATAATAAAAATTTTTTACATCTTTGAGCAATAATAACTTAATCAAATTTGATAAAAAGTCTTTAATAAATTTAATTAAATATTTGTTAAGTTATTCTTGTTTGAAGTTTTAAAAAAACTCGAAACTTAGTCCGTGTAACGTCAATTGACCAATAGAAAGTTCTTAAAACATGAAAATGCTAATTATGCGAATTCATTAAAGGTGAATTATGTCGGATCATAATCTAACCCCAGTGTCGCGTCAAGGTCTTCACACGTGATAAGGGCCGTGTAACATTACTATATCATGAAGTCGATCGTCACGAAGTTTAGAATTACCTTCTTGATGTAGTTATGTTGGTTTTATCAAGAACGCAATTTACGCAGTATGTAGATCATATATCGTACAAATAATTATTCTCGTAATCAAATTGATAATCAGTTAATTGATACTTGTAACTCTCGTCAACTTTATTATTTTAAAGTTCGTGGAAGTAAAAAAAATATATATATATTTTTTTATTTAATGATTGCTAAATTTTCAAAAAAAACTAACAATCTATTTACAAAAAGTGTCTTCTGGATACGGTTTGACGGGTGGTCGTGGCAGGTGTTTTGTTTTTTGGCAAGAGTTCCGAAAATGTTACGCTATGGCGGACCGCCCTGAGGAATGCGCCTTACAGTTAGACGATTATTTTGAATGTCTGCATCACACTAAAGAGGTATTTAGATGTCCATCTTGTAAGCAGCAATATTCAATTATTCGAAAAGATATAATGAACCTTGATTATTAAATTAGAAAGCAAGAGCCAGAGCAATTAAAACCGAGGAGATAAAACAAATTGAAAAGAAAAGACAAGAGGATGAAAAGGCACGCAAATCTACAAATTCTGCTGCAAAAAGCAATGTAACGCGTTTAGGAATTATAGATGATCAAAAGTCATCGCCGGCCTCTAATTCAAACAGTACTTAGTGTATAAGTGCTATGTGGAAAGAATATATTTATTAATGGCAAACACATATAATTCTAAATAATGTATAAAAAAAAAAAATTTTGAAGGGAAAAATATCATCTAACATCTCAACTTAGTACGGGTTGTCACTTAACGCATTAATTGTTTCTAAATAAAACAACAGAACCATACAAGCCATAATGATGGCCGGTTTACATAATGTTTTTCTTTTCCTTTAGAGGGAAGAATGCAGTAAGGTTTGTAGATGTCAAGAATGGAAAATACAATGAGATTTTATGTAAAATATAAAGAGTCATGCATTAATCCGATAATTTGTTCTCAGTTATCGCGACTTTCATTTCCTTCACTTGCTCTCTCTAACATTATTTGTATTTGTATTGCTTAAAGAATCAATAATCCAGGAATTGGGTAGAATCCCAAATAGTATTTTGTGTCAAGTGCTATTGACGTTACGGCTAATAATCCCAAATTTTTACACGAAATAATTGGTTCGGGACTCATCCCATATAAGAATAATAATTTAAGTCTATTCAAGACACGCATGAATTTAAAGATGCTAGTGAAATTAAACCAGAGTGAATTAATTTCACCACTATTGGTGAAATTGGTGTTGATTGGTGAAATTAGTTTCTCTATGTATGAGTTTGGTCAAAGTCTCTTATAATTAGAATTGCTGCGGTGGTTAAAATTACCAATCTAGTCAGCATCTTTAGTCATGAATTTAAATAAATTGTCCTTGTTAGTGCGAATAATGGCTTATCAGCTAACTAGTCATTAAAAAGCTGATATGTTTTGCTGGTAAGTATTATTTTCAATTTTTTCAGTGTCTTTATCAAAGGAGCTCTTGTTAGCGAAGCTTCGGTTTGTACCGGATTAAATGTTACATCTCCCATATTTGATAAGATGTGACTTTAAAATTAAAATGAAAGATACAAAAACTTTTATTAATGTTAACAGGAATAACCGCTTTTATACATTATGATTCTCATTTATCAATTAACAATTATATGTACAAAGTTAATCGAAAATGGTGACTCTTATAAAGGATTGATTTTACTGTGTTTTTACATTTTTAAATAACTAAATAACTATTAAACGCTTCTATTCGAATTTCGAAGGAAAATTGATTGAAAATTTTATTATTACAACTCGAATTTTATTTTAAATGTTAAAAACTTTCTTTTTTACAACTTGCTGTGCACATATTCATACAACCATTAGACCTACTTTACCAATATAGTTACTAAATCCTCTAAAATTTTTTAATTTGAAAATAAAAAGAATAAAGTTTTTAATAGTTTATACCATTGATTTAACAAATTTGATTGATTTTTGAATTTTACGCTGTTGACTGATAATGGATATATATTTAGATTTTTTATTATTATCTAAAACAAAATAGGATACCCAATTTCCAAACCTGTGCCATAATCCCAAAAAAGGATTTGATCGCACCTCTATTCAGAAGATTGGGTATTTGCGTTCGTCGTAGAAGACGAGTTCCCATCCGTAGTACGTATTTCGGATACTGGAACTTCAGGTAGTACACTTATAACCTGCGTTAGCATACTAATAGCGTTGTAAATATGTCCTTGAGTATCCTGCAATATTCGTAGCCTTTCAACAAGTGCTTCCCGTGATGTTGTTTCAAGGAGACGGATCTGATCCTCTGACAAATGACTTAATGTATTAGTTCCTACATTTGAGGTACCGTTATCCCTCAAAGGTAGAAGAGGAAAGAGGGGTATTAAACCAGGTGGAACATTCATAGAGAATTGTGAAACATAAGGTTGGTATCCTATCGATGACAGTTGAGCAGAATTTAATTGCCTAAATGATGCAACGTTTGGATCCCATGACCATCTAGGCGTCACAGATGGAGATTGTCTTCGCTCTGAATTAGTTGTTTGAGCACTAGATGATGTAGCAGATTCTTCCTATGAACAAAAAGAATAATTACAGTTAATCAAATAAGTAATATAAATCTTGCATGTTAAATACAGGTTAATTTTAACGTTGCAATACTTAAAGTGCTATATCCAATCCATGATATTACCTCATTTAATGGTCGATCTCCTGGATTTATGACATTAGGTGTGTTAAGTTGCGTGTTATTTTGTGAATTTTGAGCTGTACTTTGGTGTGCAGATTGTTGTGCATTCTGACTTGTTGTCGCATTTGCCTGCCCATCAACATTACGCTCATTCACGTTAGCAAGGGGATTGGGTGGGATATGCCATTGTCCATGCATTCCGGGAGGTGGGAAAAATGTCATTGGAGGAAATCCTGGGATTGGATTTGTTAGGAATCCGGGTGGATTCGCGAAAGGAATTCCAGGCAACTGTGGTTGAGGCTGAGGAGGTTGCGGTCCATTATTGTGATTATTGTGCTGAGGTGGGATGGGACGTGCTTGTGGTTGAGTAGGTGTAGGTTGCTCTTTAAATAATAAATAATTCAGAAAGAAAATGACGTTATGAAATATAAATATCACTATTCTATAGCCAGTGATCGCTGAAAACCGAAAGATCTTTTTATTAAATAATATGCATATCATTTAACGAACTTATTCGGTCTTAGTGATTATTAGAAATACTAAGGTCGAAGCTTGATTTAACGATATCAGGAATGAGTGCCGTCAAGGGAAAACCTGCCACCGAGGTTTCAATTATATTTTGCACCGGACATAGTCATTAATAAATCGAATAGATTGAGTCCAGCACAAAATAACATTGAAAGCCCGATGACAGGTTAGCATTCAAAGAGATTTATTAAAATGTGGATGGAATCATAAAATGGTATCATTAAATCATGTGGCAGCTTAAGCTGGGGTTTTAACTTATTTCGATATATAAATTTAAAAAATTTTGTTGGCTTTTTTTTTTTAGGGTTAGGTTAGGGTTTAAGGGTAGTTTTATCAATAAAAAAGTCTAGATGGATTTTAGTAAATATTATAGGTTTAAATGGGGGACCCTAAATCCCAGTATAAGCTACCACAATTAATGATCGTTAAACAATCGCTAAATCAAGCTCTGACTATATATATATTCTAAATAGTAGTTTTGACACTTACGTTCAGACAAAACGGGTCTACGACTAATGGACAAAAATTAATAAGTATTGCATGATGAAACGTATGAAGCTAAAAATTACTCGAAAGGGATATATTTCGCTTACCAAGTAGGACAACTCTGTTGTCTTTCCAGCCAACTACGCAAACAATGAAAATGGAAAATATGACCACAGGGTAATTTTTTAGGAACATCTCCCAGTCCATTATTCCCTTGTCTAGCTTGAGGCCTGCCATCGACATCTTCCGCGTTATTATTATTATTAATTATAGGTGCAGCAATCATTTCCTCTCTACATATTATGCAAGCACGATCACTTAATCGCTCAAGTTCATCATTAGTTGCATTAGGATAACGTTCATTCATATTTCTAGTTGCACGGCGATATCGAATAAGATCTCCACATTTTTGGAGGAAAGAGCGAAGCGTAACGTAGACGTCACGAATAATATGTAGAGGGATACCGTAAAATACGAGAATTATTGCAAAAAAGATAAGATAGGTAATTAATTTGAAGAAATCTAAATAAATTGGCAAGATACTGTTAATGATTGCAATACATTGGAAAATGTATGAAGTAAATATATATTAGAAATCTTCACCTGTCACGAGTTCTAGATAAAAAACGTATATTGATTTATTCTCCCATGGATCTTCACGTCTCATATCAATAACATTCAAGATATATTTAAGTAATGTGGATATAATCGTGGCACCAAGAATAGAGTACTGTGTTTAAACGAAGTAGAATAAATATATGAGTTAGCTTAACGTATCCATAATATGGTTAATTACAATGTATATATAAACAGCAAATAACACAGACTAACTTCAAATGCAAACATAATCATCATATTTGGACCATGTTTAAACGTGACATCAACAGCATGGTAAACTAAATACATGTCAATAGCACATAGAATCTCCATTAAAGAGACAATTCGAATGTGAAAGGACATCGGCACGGCCGGTGATTGTTCCATCTGCCATTAAATACATCCGATAGTGGAATTATTTGAATGTTGAGTTTGAATATTTGTTTGCAATAGAAATGACTTCAGAGGTTATACTCACGAATTCTACCCGATCTTGACATAGCCAATGAAATATTTTTAGAAATAATAAAGTTGTAAATGTTATAACAAATCGAGTGTCGAATTCGTCTCGGAATATAGTCATGGCCAAGCATGTTTCCGTAACGGCATACCAGGATCTCTCATATAAATGCTTATTCACAGAAATTGGAAAAATAAGTTTAAAATAAATTCAGAAATATATACAAAAATAATAACTTACCTCGATCTCCACAGCGCGTAATCGCCCAAAAAATATGGTTTGAAGTATCTGACCAAATACTATCGTTAGAAAAAATCCCATGTTCATAAGGATCTAACAGTAATAAATAATAAATTAGTATATCAAGCCACGATCGGCATCTAGATCCCCCCATGACGCGAAAGGCAAGAAACTAGATTCAAACTCATGACAATCATTGATAACAAGTGTTTAGACGGGGGAATATTGTCATAAGGCATCAAAATAATAAATTAAAATAGAGCTTACCATCATACATGCGCTAGATTTCGATAAATAAATGCATGCTGCATAAAAATTACTTCTTTGGCGAAAGGCAGCTGCAATGACCGAAAAGGACAAGAAAGTGCTAACCCCACCATAAACTGCTAGTCGCACCATTTTTATAAATGATTGTAATTCTGTCACCACAAAATTGTTACTAAAGGGATAATGCTTTGGTAGATTAGGTATATTAATGAAATATTTGAAATAACTTCGACAAAGCCATCAAATAATAATATAATCGTTTAAGTACGTACTTAAAATGTCAAATTTATACTTTACTTGCCTACTTTATGCCACGTAGTAACACAAAATATTCTCGCACAAGTGGCTCATCTTACTTTTTATTAGTAAATATGTAACCTATATTAATGACGAAATTACATTGTAAGATTGTTACGCGTTAGTTCAAATTGATCAATAAAGATCCCTTTTACAATAGAATTTTGCTCACATTTGGTAAGTATTAACTAGTGAAGCTAGTTTCATATTCAGATCAATGTTAATCTTATGGTGGAAATTATTTATCATTATGGTTTATGCAGTTTATTTTCTATTTAAGTGTTGAAAACACCGCAAAAAATATTAAGCAACGATGAAAATAATGCCCGGATTATACTTGCTGAACAAATCCCAAACCCCAGAAAAACAAATTGCTTTTATAAATAATTTTGATATTTTATGAATATATTATCGTCAAATATAGCTATAAGAATATATATATATATCATTTGTTTAAATAAAGATTATTAAGAGATACGTATTAGTTTGGGCTTGGGTTTGGGAACAAACCTAGGACAATAATAGTTTGGGATTTGATCGGCAAGTATAGCTCGGATCGTTATTTAGTGGAGTGTGAACAATAATTTTTCAGTCTTCGACTAAATTAATTTTTGGCTCTTTTTATGCAAATAAGGTATAGATAATTTCATTAACAGTAATATTAATAATTTTTTAAAAAAAAGCTTGTCAGTGGACCCGCTAAAGTTTTAACTCCGGGTTACCCACCCGTTTAAAAAAACCCTAACCGGGTTACCAACCAAATAACCCGGTTAATTACAATAAGAAAAATATATATTTACATCATTCATTTTTCAGCATAGTTGTAAGATATTTATAGCTGTTTTCATAATTCTGGGGCAACTCGTATAGCGAAAATTTTTGATGGGAATGCTGTGATTATGATAAATAAATCAAATACGCAAATCTGTAATCTAATCAAATTGATTACTAATTAATTTGATAAATTCATATGATATATATAATTTTACAAGATTTTAAACAGCATTTATATCATATTACTTTGCACATACTATGGCACTTTTTAAAATTTTTTTTGTCAACTGTATAACAAGTCTTATTCTTCTAATTATTAAGCAATAATAAAATTGTTAAACATAAGATAAACTGTATAGTTTATATTGTCAATATTTTTCTATTGCATTTGAAGAAATTTTTAATTATTTTCTTTAAAATATTAATAGTAAATTATATTTTTATAAATTTTTTTTTTTATTATTCTTCTTGCTAATTATCAAAACACAAAAATCTACAGATACCTAGGTCAACTGTAAAAATAAGTACAGAAGGTTCTGGAGGGTTTACCTTGAGGATAAATTAGTTTTAAGGTTGAGAAGATGATCTGAGCATCTGGATATAATCCAGTAAGTTAACATACACAGGTCAAATGAATAAATAAAAAATGAATAATAAGTAAATAACAGAAAAAAAACTGCCATTATTCTACCCTATATCTGTCAAATAATGGCAGCATAACAGTAGCATAATAGCAGAATTACAGTAAAATAACTGAAGATTTGTTGATATAAGTAATATAACAGTAACATACTAGTAAAATAATAGAACAGTTTCATTATTTTACTTTTAGTCTTTGTAACTAAAAGTAAAATAATAGAACTGTTTTATTATTTTGCTATTATGTTACTATTATGTTACTTATATCAACAAACCTCTTGTTATTTTACTTTTATTCTGCTATTATGTTGCTATTATGCTGTCATTATTTAACAGATATAAGGTAAAATAATGGCAATTTTTTTTTCTGTTATTTACCTATTATTCACCTTTTATTTATTCATTCAATCTGTGACAGATGACAGATTCAGAAGGTTTAAAGTAAAACACCTAAGCAGGGGTGTTAGGTATAACAATTAGTAGAAAACCTTTGGGTGAACTTCTTAAATAGGTAATATAGAAAAGTTACATGTATAGCCAATTGTACTCTCTTCTGTAGTGGTTTATTGAATCACAATACTAATAAGTGATTAATAAAAATCAAAAGATCAAAGAAATTACTTTAAAAAAAATAAAAAAAATAAAAATAAAAATCTACAGAAACAAAATCAAAGTTTAGAAAAAAACTAGTGTTAAAACTGCATTTGAAGATTTAGCAAAACAGAAAAAAATTTTAAAATAGACTTAACAGATAGATTAACAAAAGAAAAAAAGTCAAATAACAAATAAGAAAAAGACAAACTTAATAAATAAATTTTGAAAAATAAAATTTTAGAAAAATAGTATAAACTTATAATCACAGATCTGTTTGAAATATGTGAGTATATAAAAAGACAAATAAATAAGCATATATAATATAAACAAAATAAATATATAAATATTATAGAATTTATATAATTATAAATAAATTAACACTAATGTGAAGATTAATAATTATAAACTCTCCCTGCTGATCATCTAAACACAAAATCGACCAAATAGGAAAACTGATTTTACACAAAAGTGGCCTTCTAAACTATTCTGATAGAACTAAGTAAAAAGAAAAAGCATCCAAGAAAGGTATACTAAAAGAAAAGAAATAGACAAACACAAAGGATACAGTATAGAAAAGCAAAGAAAACTAAAATTTCTTGAAGAAAACACTTGAAAATTTGGAAATCGTAATATTTTGGGGAATTGGCACTAACCTGGTATCGCAGATCTGTTTTGGTCACAAGAATGTAAACAAACAAGCAACTCAACTACGTGTAGGATAAGCAAAACAAACACGTGCTTAATATAGATAGAAATATGGATTTAACTAAAAGACGTAACAGCAGTCTA